GATTCAACATCAGGCTGGGAAGACAATTCAAGGGTTGGCATCCGGCTAATACGATCCATGGACAGGACAGGTCCATGGACAAGTGGAGACTGGCACTTCTGTGATGTACATAAGACATCTGAAGGTACAGGCCTGAGCTGTAATGAGACTCCTGGGCCCATGGGCAGAGAGTGTGGGCAGAGGCCCCAAGTGAGGCTGGACAAGGCCATTAAAGGCCTGTTAGTGCACTCAGGGCCCTGACAGGCAGATGGGTTCAAACTACCTGCCTGTGGTCTAAGCAAGGTTTCAGTCTACTTTCTGACTGCTCCCAAAAAGTGTTCATCTTCCTAAGAAGTTTTAAAACCCCGTAGTCTTGTTTTCAGCTGTTACATGTGCTCTGATACTACGCTGGAGAGAATGCTTTGCAGGGTAAGAAGGGACAATCTCATGATTCACAAGGATCACAGAAAAGCAGAGAAAAGGTGAGACCCTGAAAGGCCACAGAAGAGCTGCCTGACAATGAACTGGCTGTCAAAGAGCTGGCTCCTACCAGCCAACAGACTGGTAGCAAGGCAGGGCTGATCTTGGTCCCTTCCTATTGGGGTTATCTTCCTCCATGTTTAAGCAGCAGCAACTCAAAGGTTACATAGATAGCCTCCTAATCTCCCGATTCCCTCCTGCCTCCCTTTCTATTCAGGTGAAGGGAAAGTCCAGAGGAAGAATTTCTGCTTCAGGTTGATTTACAGAGAGGCCAGTAAATTTATCAACTCTTTCAACACCACCCCTTTCCTTCCTCTGCTCCCCACCTACCCACCCCATGCTCCTTCTGCCCTCCTCCCCAAAACATGCAATTAAAGAGAAGGCTCAGGAGGAAGATTCTTGCCATAATGGACTCACATATTTGCCGGTAATGTGGTGCATAGCGAAGGGACTAGAAAACCAGCAGCCCCTGGGGACCTGAAGCTCTTCCTCTTGGGGTATGCCTGGAGTACATGGACCAAGAAAAACCACTGGTGTGTCTCTAGGTTACTGCAGTGATGTATGGAAATCTAGCTGCATCACTCCTTCCCTTCTGCCCCATCTCCTGGCCCTTTCATAGATATAAATACATATATATGTACAGTCTATTTTTTTTAAAGTGGCTCACGGGACCAAACTTTTCCATTCAGAGACTGACTCCTTGCCAAGAGGGACTGGAAGTTAAGGGTTTACCTTTGCAACAGTGTCTTCTCAGCAAGCACTGCAGATAGGCCTGAACATTTTGAGAGGATGCTTGGATGGACAGAGAGCAAGAGACAGACAGTGCATCTCTCTGCTCAACATTATCAAGAAGCAAGGAGAAAGAGAACTACATACCTCCAGGATTAGGGCACAGCCAGCTGCTCAGCTCGAGTCACTTATCCACTGACCTTAGCACCAGCCTGGTTAAGAATCTCAAGAACTCTTAGTCTTACCTTGCCAAGGGCTTCTGCAGACAAAGCTCCTGGAATTTGGTGCCAAAGCCTATCCTGAGCACTCCTCGATTAGGCTGAAAGCACAGGAAACCAGTCCCTTTACCTACAGGAACTGTACTGCCTCCGCACACATGGCACAGATCTGTGTTTCATAGCTCTCCATGGTAACAGAGCATTTTCTTGATCAAAGCAAGAGAAGATGAGTGTGAGCAGATGCAATCTCCAAAACAGAGTGACAGAAGCCTCCCGGGGCTACACGCTGCCTCCACATGTCAGAAGTAACCTAATGTCCTGTTTTGTCTGGGAATTGGAACTGCTCGCTAACCAGCATTTTCTCCACCTGAATTTAGCGAGAGGACTCACATCTTACATCCTCTGCAAAGCTGTCCCAAGCAGGCACAAGGATGGTATGATGAAAGTGGGTTGCCATTCTGCTTTTTTCCCCACCACCCCCTCCAAGAGACAGATTATGCAGCATATATAGATACAGCTGTATAAACATACACTTAAGCACAGAACATAGGTCACAGCTTGATTTAAAAAAGATCCCATGGGGGTGAGGGGAACTGTCATCCTGATAAGGCATATCCCTTTAGCAACCTGAAATTGTCTCTAACTTTCTACCAAATAAGGAAAAAAACAAAACAAAACAACCCCACAAACCTTTTGAATGATAGTTTCAATATTCCAGAGTTTGATAAGGTACCAAGAACATTTGTGTGTGTGTGTGTGTGTGTGTGTGTGTGTGTGTGTGTCCGCATTCAAATGTGAACAGAAGGTTGGTGGAGAAAGGTTGTGCAATTGATACTGAAGCGAGACATGGGGACTTCAGAGAACCTCAGCCAATTCTCATCCTCCTCTGGTTTCCCTTTGTTCAGATGTTTGCTAGGGCACAGTTCTTTAAGTACCTTCACATCTCCTCAACCACCCCTCTGTATCTGATGCTGAGAGTTTATGAGAGAGATGGATGAAGCTGTGCGAGTCTGTGTGTTTCTATAGTCCATGTTTACTTATTGTAAATACCATTTTTATACTTAACATCTATTATGTACGTGATTTGTATAATGTACTTTATTTCTGCTACAAGTAATTTCATGAAGTTTAAACTTAATCTAATTTTGAACAAAAAAAAAACAATGGAAAAAAAGACCAACAAATGCAAAATGGAGAAAAAAGGACTGTGGAAATTCTAGGTCAAGCTGGTTTAAAACAACCATTTGCAGTTTCTTTCCTCGCAGTTACTGATAATGACAGTACAATGTTACAGGTGCGATATAAGCTTCGTCAATGTCAGATTCCTCACTCTGGTAAAAAAAAATCTTAAATTTATTTAATAAAAGTTTTACTTGCTAAGTAACGGGTATTACTTCACGTATTAGTTGCACCTGCTTTTAGATAATGCTTACACTTGAAGACAATCACCTAAGGCCTGATGTTCCCGTTCACCAAAGCACCTGCGCAGTTAAAAAGCATTTCACAGGGGGGATGGATGACAGAGCCTGAGTCCTACAGCATACAACCCCGCCTCACTCTGAACACCACACAGTGTCCACATGTCTCATAAGAAGGCTCTCTGTGGATTTTTATTCCGTTCTTCAGCAGATGACCCCCCAACATGCAAGTTTGTTGTATTAGTCCAATTGCACCAAATGAGTTCAGCACCCAGGCTCCAGCAGATCTAAACACAAACCAGTCCCAGCTCTTGTGTGCAGATACCAGACATCTTTTAAGAACCCTTGTGTACTCTGCTCCCACCTGAGAGAAAAAAACTGGTTCTCTCAACAGCACCTTGATGGAGATCAATCAATCAATCGAGAACCAGAGCCCAGTCCATCTTGTCCTATGCACAGAACCTAGCAAATGCACATACTCCTCATCTCTGCCCTAAAGGTGAGGAACATGCTTGGGGTTGGTAGAGGACCAGCTCTGTTTGCCATGCCCATGGTTCAGCTCCCTTCTATAAAAGCACCAGTTTCCCTGGGAGTTTCTTCTGCCTTGAAACCCCTATTTAATGGTCCTGGATAAAAGCAGAATATGAGCAGAGAATGAAATCTAGGACTACCTCTGTTTTTTTATGCCTCTTTGCTCCTGTACCAACACAATTCTGCAGTGACTGAGCCAAGGTGTATACTGGCAAACTGTCCTGAGAAGCAAGCAGGTGTGTGTTTTAGAACGGGTGAGTTCAAACTCAAGAGTTTGTGAAGTGCAGTGAGTTCTTATTTCCACACAGCTCTGTAGAAAGCTATGTCAAAATCCAGTCAATGGCAAGGAGAGAGGAAGGGAAACACTGAGCGGGTGCCTGTTCCTATGATGTGAGTGAAATGTTCTTGTGGCTCAAAGTGCCACACACCATTCCTAGTAACAAGACTTAAGAACTCAAGCTGCAGTGACATGTCTTGCAGGCACACAAGCTTTTTTTTATCTAGCTCAGAACAGGAGTGCACTTAGTCTAGCACCTAGCTGTCAACGGAGCAAAGAGGCATGCAGTGACCCTTTCCCAGGAAGCTGCCTCTCACTGGCTAGAATGTACGCCTCAAACTGGTTTTTTTTTCTGTCCTTGGAGAAGACCAGCTATGATCCAAGAAAGACTGCGATTGGCCAGGCTCTGCACGCTCCATTTTAGTTCTACAAGACAAGCCTGTTTTTTTAAAGCAATACCTGGGCTGTTCAAATAAATTCCAAAGCTGTTAACCACTTTCTACAAATGTTCAGCTTTCAAAGGTATTTAAAATTCCGTCAGGATTCATGCATTGTGGACAGGAACAGCACACAAAATGACCAGCCTTTCAGACATCAAGGACCCCACATAGAATCTGTTATCCATCCCCAGCCCAGGAGGATTCAAGCAGAGACTGCTTTTTCTTAGCAACTAGAACTTGTAAGCTTATGACACATAGCCATAGGAATAACATGTTAGGGAAGAATTCCATCTATATTATTTTCAGTGCAGGAATAATCAATCCATCGTGGCACTTACAGCAAGAAAGAGCTGATTTAATAGGTCCCATGCAGTCAGCAAATGTCTACCAACAGGCCTGTGCTCACAGAAGCCAGGTCACCAGCCTTCCTTTACAAGAAAGCATCAACATGTAACATCAACACATAAAAATAATCTATAGTTTAATTAAAATAGAGATTAAAGTTCTACGTGTAGGAAGCAAGAAGGTTCCCAGAATCCACAAAACAATGAAGCAGTGGAGCAGGATGTCCCAGGAATGTGCAGACATTCCAGGACATCCTGTACAGAGGCTAAAGCTGGAGCTGAGAGAAGACTGGAGGAGTAAAAGCAGACAGGTGAGGCTGAAGGAGGGGAGATGGGTGGAGGGCTAAGACAGAGTGAACAGTGGGAAAGATCTCTGACTGACAGGTAGAAATACCAGATCTGTGGCTGAGTCAGGGTGAGAGGGAGACCAAGAAGAGTCTTATGAAAAGAGCTAAGGTTACTTTGCCACCACTGCTGCCCTGCTCCTGCTTGACACCAATAGCTGAATGGGATGCTTAGTGGGACAGGGGAAATGTGATTAGAAGGAATGTAGGATAGGAGAGGAGCCTGAGACTGGACATCCCTTAAGGACCGCTGTAGTTATAGTAACTCCGTAAAACCTGGCCCCCGTCATTGGGAAACAAAACCCAGAGGCAGCACACGTGCTTCAGCCACCATGGGTAGAAAACTTCCTGCACCCGTGTGGCACCCCCCTGGATGATGGCGAGTGCAGCTTCAGGAGCAGGAGAAGCAGTTAGGTACACTTTGCCCCTGTAAGGAAACAGCCAGAGGATCACTCAAAGCCAGTCAATTCTTGGCATGGTTTTAACTGTGTAGACTGACTACCACAGGGTTCTGCATGCTCATGTTTGACACTGAGGTGGACTTGCACAACCCCCATGATGTACGCAAGAAGATGCACCCTTCCCATTAGTCTTCTTGCACATCCAAACGGATGCACGCACCATCTTAAACACAGTTGTGGTGCATTTTTTGCATGTTTTCAAGAAGATACGTTCCTGCAGACACACTCCCTCCCAGAATCCTACATCCTCCTCCGAATACACACCTGGTATTCTCTAACGCCGAATCAGTATCAATCAGACCCAGGATGCACAGTGTGATAGAGACGTTTCTCTTCTGCATGATGAGTTCATGGCGCAGTGAGCTGAAGAATCCATCCAGTGCAAACTTGGTGGCAGAATAAGAAGTGGTGAAGGGAGTGGGTACCTTCCCTGAAAAGGAGAGAATTGAAAACACCAGGGAAGTGGCTCTAAGGAGGATGGTGCCATGGAGGGGGAATCTGGGAAAAGACAGAGGCTTAGCCGTCCTCTATCAGCCCATGTTCTGTTCAGGTGAGTTTCCCTCTGTTTCTAGTCACAGAGGCACTTTGAAAATTACACCATTTTGTGTGAGCACATCCCAGCACAGCAGCCACCACATATGTGGATAAAGGGAGGAAATTTCTTTTAACTTAGTAACCAGGTCACATGCTGGGCTAAAAAGCCCAGTGTGATGGTCTGCCTGCAGCCTTCCCCTCTCCCATCACATGCAAACACATGGACTGGGTCCACCATGTCCCTTTGACCTCCCCTGCCTGACAATCACAGGATTAGAGATGTTAGTGGGGACAATCCCTGGAATCATCCTTTAGTACTGCATTAATGGATCCGCTGTCCGTGAATTGGCCTAACCCCTCTTTGACCTGCTGATCCTGCTGCCATTTCCCTGACACCAAGGCACGTTACATCACAAGACAGGGATGTGCCATAGTCTGAAGTTGGGTATGGTGATGCAGATCCCTTGAGCACACACTGAAGACTTTCTCCTGCCTTTCCATCCCATACAGTAGGTGCAGCTACTCAGCAGCCCGAAATTCAGGCTGGCCAAAGCCAGAAGGCCTTCAAATGGCTGGATGGTCTTGATGCTGGGTCAGAAATGCAGGAGAGATGGGCCTGGCTGTGAGGGACAGGAGCCAAATAATTAGATCTGGTCACAGGGTGAGTGAAGAGCAAAGTCCCAAGGGAATGCAAAATGGTGCAACACAGAGAAGGTCTTCCAGAAAACAAGGCGGCCAGCCAGCCACCATCTACTATGTTGCTACTATAAAATGCACAGCTTGAAAACGTGTTGAGGGGTTGAAGGACACAGAGAAACATGATGTGCTGGGAACCACTATTTCCAAGGGCACCTCTTAAGCCAGTTAAAAATACTAACCTGTGAGGGAAGAAACAACCACCAGAGAACCTTTATTCTTCTCCAGGGTGGGAAGAGCAGCTGTTGCGAGTGCCACATAACTGAAGAAATTCACCTGGAATGATAAAAGTAGACATGGAAGAAGCAAGAAGGTTTGGAGGGAAAGTCAGCATGAGCCAGAAATCCAATACAGTGGTCAGAAATGGAAAAGAGCATGGCTTGGATTTGCTTTTTCAAACATCAAGTAAAAAGAATAATCTCTGTGAGGATGGGGACAAACATTACATCCAGGAGTCTTTCAGATTCCAGAAAAAGCAATGGAGAAGAGTCAGAGCAAAGGTTATTTCTGGGCTTTAACAAACAGATTTATTGACAAGAGACAATTAACTGTCCCTGATTTCTCTATGTGCCATTCTTTACTCTGCAATCCCTATCCAGCAACGACAGCAGTAGTGTCTCAATTCACTCCCCTTTTAAGTTTCTCTTGACTGAAATCAGACTACAATGAAGCATAACATTCACCATCTCTTCTGAGCTTGACCACTCTGTAACTTGTAAGAAGGTTCTTACCTGTGATCCCAAGTTCCCTACTCTCCAGCAAACAGGCTTGTTCCAACATGCACTAAAACTAATATGACCCACCTGACCTAAGAAGACTGAAGCAAGAAAATTCATCGCCATGGTCACAAAACCTGGTACCAAGGTGATTCTTTAAGAAAACTCTGAATCTGTGAGCAGAGACTCAAGTGGCAAACACCACTTCAAACAATCTCATTGTGTTCTGCAATGACGTGCACTTGCTATAGATGAGTAAGGAAGTGCTTGCTCCTCACCTACTGGCCTTCCTAAATTAGACGTACATTGCACAACTGCCTGTAACTACCCATCAATCCCTAACAGTCCTGGGCTAATGGGAGATAAGGACAGAAGGAAGGAGAGAAATTAAGTTCTTCTCAGACATGCCTCTGCACAGATATGAAACAACTGAGCAAAACAACTGTCTAGTAACAAAACCTCCAAACCGTTTGACGTGAAACATGAATGAAATAAAAGGTTTATTTTCAACCACTGCCATAGACTCGAATTTGCCTTTGAGCTTCCCAAGGCTGTCCCAGGAGAAGCCAGACTCACCTAATTCCAGGTGAGCTCTTGCTGCTGGGAAACCTCACCTGCATGAGCCAGCGGGTGTATTCCACATCTCCCACCCACATCTGGAAATGGGTCACACCAATGTGGTTCAACACCAGGTAATCCAGTCCCCCTGTGGACAGGAGAAAAAGCAGTCAAAGGACCATCCCCTAACCAGCAACCAAGGAACTCAGAAATGCCAGCAGGAGTAGGCTGAACCAACCAGACAGTCCCTCAGAAGGCTAGAAAGTGCTTTACCATGAAGATACATGAAATATGGCCACCTGGGAGCAGCTTTGCCTGCTCCTCAGGGGTATAATTGGAAGGAAAGCTGTTGTTCTTTGACAGCAGCTCTCTGAAATTATGTTTCAGGGTAATGCAGACTTGGAACTTGGTTCTGATCATACATTCCATTTTCAAAGTTAGAAGTATTCAAATTTGTAACAGAAAAATTATGATTGGTATAGGAATGCATATGTGCAAAAGCATCAACAGAAACTGCTGGTTTAAAAGAAAGGTATGAATCGATGGCTGCTGGACTGGCAGGTCATCCAGATCACAGCACACTTACACACAGTTTCTTAAGACAGCCACATCAGGAAAGCCAAGAGCATAATGAAGTAATTAAGGCACTCAAATAATGGACAAAATGATAGTGAGTATAATAGAAAATGCTGCCTAATGACAGTCTGACCCAAATGAGACAAGAGGGAGAGGCAAAAGGTCATAATCACTCAATTCCTACATGGCAAAAAGACAATCAAAAAGCAGCACATGGTCACCAAGAACCCAGACGACACAATGAGGACTCAACAGTGAGCATCCCTTGTCCTTTGTATCACCACAAGTAAGCTTGGCCAAGGTACTTGGTCATACCCATCTTATTGCTTGTGAGTACTAAAGAATGAGTAAATGCGAATGCATGAGAGTAGTATTGTGAATCAGTTCTGGTTCAAATAAGACCACCTTCCCCTTCTATACGGTCTTGGACTGAGCTTTGGTACAGGGGCAGGTCACTGCTTTCAGACCTCCCACTTCCTGCCTCTCTCAACACAAGGCACTATGTTCAGGGTTGGGTGTATGCTGGCACACTCACACATAGCAAATGTCTGGACGTGCGGTACCCTGTGCCAGGTGAGGTGCTATGGGGTGTGACTGCAGTGAAGCACTGCAAGTATTTTTTGCATACTTCTCTCCTCTAGCAAAAGACATAAAAGGCAGCTAAAAAGATGACCACATCCAGACTAGTATTTACAAATGCCATACCCTCCTGTCTGAAACAACCCCCTCAGTGAGGAACATGGGGAAACTGAAGCAGGAAAACTCCTGCTGGAATGAGAACTGTCTATATAGCTGAAAGCCAAAGAGATGCTGAAGATGAAGACAAAATTGAGATCAGAATCAGAACCCCTCCTCCTTGCTCTGCTCACCTGGTTCTGACCAGACAAGCAGTGAACATCTGAACAGTCAAAGATACCTCTCCTTTCACAGACCCCTGAACTCAGGTAAATTACAGAAACGTACACTTTTCAACTCCAAGGTTATCAGAGAGGAGCCAAGACTGGCAGGGCCATAGGAACTGGGATAAGAACTGTATCATCAGGCTTCTCTCTGAGCAGTTGCATAAAACTTGCATGTCAGTATGAAGCATAACATAGCTTGAGACCTATAATCTCTGAAGGGTGACCAGGCCAGGTGTGTTCTAAAGCTTTCTTGAAAAAAGGAACATGGTGCAAACTGGAGTGAGAAGTAAAGTTTGTTCTCTCTCCTCAGTATCTCATTTTTCTTCTGCTTACCCAGCTTTTGGACAGCAAACTGAACCACCTTTTCAGGCTCTGAAGGGGAAGACATATCTGCAGGGATATAAAATATTTTCTTTGCTCCAAGTGTCAGGCATTTCTCCACCACCTTGAAAAGGAACACACACCCAAAAATTAAACAATATGGAGTGGAAGGAAAAAATAGAAATAAGGGCACGGTAAGGCACTGGTATGTGAGGGTGCCCAGTAATGATGCACAGTTTAGCTATCTGCTGAAATAATGCCTTCCAGGCATTAGAAACTATCTTTATGCTCACTGTCCCCAACTCTCCTTTTATGCCATTTCATAATGAAGGACCTTCCTTGCAAGTCACCTATCTGCACAGTTTAGGAGATACCTTCTCTAAATATTATCCCATTTTATAAACTACAGATAAAGGAGTCTCATCTATTTGAGGCGGTCAAAAATTATTTAACCTACAAAAAGGTTTGAGTCTTTAACAAAACAGCTACAAATAGAACTGTTTGGACTCTGAAAAGCTGCATAATATCGCACAGGAACTGTAGTTCATAGAATCATAGAATATCTCGAGTTGGAAGGGACCCATATGGATCACTGAGTCCAACTCCCTGCTCCTCACAGGACTACCTAAAACTAAACCATATGACTAAGAGCATCGTCCAGGTGCTCCTTGAACTCCCAACAGGCTTGGTGTCATGATCACTTCTCCCTGAGGAGCCTGTTCAGTGAGTGACCACCCTCTCAGTGAAGAACCTTTTCCTGATGTCCAATCAGAACTTCTCCTGGCAGCTTCATTCCTGTGTAAATGTTCAGGTAGTAAAAGGTTCTGGCAGCGTACAGGCCAAGCTCCCTTCTTGGTCACACCTCCGCAGTACGCTGTGTTACTGCCTTCTGGTAAGAAAAACTGGGCATAATTTAGCAGGCACTGGTGTATGGCAACACAAAGTATCCCATCCAGGAGACGAGTTACAGAGAACGGCACAGGACACTGACAGCAAGCTGGGCTCAAAATACATCTGTGGTAGGTTCCATCTTTCTACATAAGTGGAAAGAATTTCAAAAGCAAGCTGGCTTTGTTCAGCAACAGTTCTGAAGGAAAATTTATTGTGCTGACAACTAATTTGTTGTTGTTTTTTTTTTGTAAACGTTAAAATCTCTTATGTCTCCTCTCATACAAGGAAGTTCTTACCTTCTGCAGCACAGCTTCCCTCCTAGCAGTCAGAACAATTTCAGCACCAAATCTGGCATAATGATATGCCATCTGCTCTCCAATCCCAGCACTGGCTCCAGTCAGGAGAACACGGGCACCAGACAAACTCACTTGTTTGTGGGAGAGAGAATAAGAGATATAGGAACTAAGTGAAGGAAGCAGCAGAGGAGCTGTCCTTAACTATTGGCAGAGCTCTAACATAGAAAAGTGTGTGGAAGTGCTCAGAAGTCTTGATGCTTCTCCAAAAACAGAAGAGACAAGACTGACCTGAAGAAGCCATGAGATTAACAATACCTTCGAACCCTTGCTAGACTGAAAATAATAAAAAATGACCTAACCGTTGAAGAATGAGCTATTTTTCCCTTCTTACAGGTGTCTACAACAAAAAGGTTAGCCATCAGCTACCTTCTGTCAAGTAGCCAGCCATATTGATCTATTTTGGCCTGGGTCACAGGAAAGCTTGGCTAGCTCAACAAGCTCCAGCACATGGCAGTCAGATGAGCCTCGCTCCACTAACATGCAACAGCCACTTCCCTCCTCCATCCTGACCACCCCTACGTTCATACTTCAGTCATGGAGCAGGACGCTCTGTCTGACCCACTTCATTCATACAGCAGCTGGCATGCTAGAAACTGGACGAGCCTTGCTTCCCATCCCTCCTCCTCGGCTCAGCATTCTTTCATGGAGTTGAGTTGGATAATGGATAAAAGTGTACAACTGGCATGCCTGAGATGCCCTGGAACAGCTCTCAGGCCCAACTGCCCAACAGGTACGTTGTTTTATTACTCTGTGTTTGTTGTGGACTTTATGCCTAGGCTATCACTGCCAGGGAATAATGATATGGTTTTGCAAGCTAGCTGTGTCACTTGCCCTTTGCTGGGTTCCTGGACCAGCATCTATCAAGGACAAGGCTGGCTTTCACATTATAAAAAGCTGTACAACATAAACCAGGCTCTGGACCTCCTGCCTTCTGAATATAATTTATTCTTTGCCGTTGGTTTGGAGACATGTCAGCCCTCTTATGCTGGGCACTGCACACATATAGACATGGTTCGTGACCCCAAAGAATTTGTAAACAAAACAGAAAAAGAGAAAGGCAGTGGTAAAGTATATGTCATTTTTTCCCCACATAGACAGCAGGATCCCTTGTAAATGCTGTTAGACCATTTTGTCTTCCTCTTTGTTTCAAGCTTCTCCTTATTTCTGGGAATGAAGCATTGCTTTGGGGCCACGAACTCTGGTAAGATTATGGACAAGAATGAGACCAGCAGAGTTTGGAAATTCAACCTCTTCTCTTACATGACTTATATTCCAGTTTGGAATTACCCCCCTGGTAAACCTACCTGGGTTAAAAGGGTCTTTCCAGAAGAAAGCTAGGAGGCCAGCTACGATCCCTGCGGCACACAGCGCTTTTCCAATTGGCTTCATATCCCTCCAAGTTGTGAAGAACAAAGTGAAGTCTTGAAGCTGAGCACTCAAGCTAAAACACTGTAATCTCCTTCCTCTGATGCTGGAAGCCAACCTGCAAGAGGCATGCAAAGTCCTTTTCTGTCCTGCATAGAAGAGAGGCACTGCGTAGCACTAAGTCTGCGTCTGAGAAGTCTCTCTCCTGGGAGCCAGTCACCTTTTTAAAGAATGAAAAATAGGGAGAAGATGGACAGTCAACACTTTGATAAGAAGCTGCAAGGAAGTTGCTCTTCCCCTGGAGGGAACACCCCAGTCCTGCAAATGGTCTGCATTTGCCCAAGAAAGGTGAGGGCTGGCTGTGCCAAGCAGTGCAACTTCCTATTCAGAGGAAGAAACCCTGGCAGGATGAAAAATGTAAATGCAGGCCTGAGGACAATGAAACCTGCCCTTGTAGGAGAGGAAGGGATGCAAAGAGGACAGAAAACAGGTCTAAAAGGTTAAGAGCTCTATTAAAAAAAAAAAAAGTGAAATAAAAGAGACAAGGAGAATACATCTGATTCTAAGAAAACGATCTTTCACTGGGAATTCCCACAGCTCTGAACTCAGAGTCAGCATCTGTACAACGCGAGTTCTCCCATGTCTACAGGAGAAAAAACACTCACGTCTGATCTTGCAGAAGGTTTAACTCATTCAGGAATGACCGCGCTCACACGCTCACAGCTGGTAGCGTGGATCACC